GACCTACTGCAGAGCCGGGGAAGTCTGCTGGGTATTCTGCAATAGCCTCTGTGGGAAAAGAACCTGAAAACCAGTGGAGTCATGTATGGCGTCACCCAGTCACTTTGGTGCACGCCTGCAGCTGATGCATGATAAATCAACCAGTCAGACACGGCCGAGCGGCTGAACCGAACTGAACTGATACTCCCGTAAAAAATGTTCAACAATTTAAAAAGACCTCCCCACTGGTAACCACTAGTTTGTTCTCTGTATCCGTGACTCTCTTTCTGCCTTCTTCATTCATTCACTTTATTTTTTAGATTCCACACTTAAGTAGAAACATACAGTGTTTGTCTTTCTCGGGCTTCCTTCACCACACATGATACCCTCCAGGTCCAGCCATGTTGTTGCGAATGGCAAGATTTTGTTCTTTTTTTGTAGCTGAATAGTATTCCATGGCACTTTTAAAATTGCAGTAGGGCAGTTCCCTGGGGGTCCAGTGGTTCGGACTCTGCTTCCAATGTGGGGGGCATGGGCTCGATCCCTTGTTGGGGAACTAAGATCCCGCATGCCATGTGGCACAGCCAAATAACAATGATAATAATAAGAGATATCTCTTTAAAATAAAATTTTAGAAAATGTTGTATAGGCAAGAATACCAGAGCGGGTTACCATTCCCTTCTCCAGGCCATCTTCACGACCCCGGGATTGAACCTGGATCTCCTGCATTGGCAGGCAGATTCTTTACCATCTGAGTGCACCAGGGGGGCCCAAATAATGATAATAAATAAAAGAGACAGCTATCTAAAATAAATAAGACTGTAGTGGCAGTCAAATGCCGGTTGGAGGGAGGCTCTCAGATGGCAGGGTCTTTCTTGGCTGTGCTGACCCTGCAGGTTGGAGGCATGTGGACTGACCTCCGAAGGCTGCAATGCCCTCTCCGCCGCCCTCACCTGCAGCCAGCACCTGGCCAGCCTGAACCTGATGCACAACGACCTTGGTCTCAGAGGAATGACGACGCTGTGTTCGGCCTTCATGCATCCCACATCTAATCTACAGACCATCGGGTGAGTCCCCAGAGATGGCTTCTGAAATGCAAACATACAAACAAAATGTATGTTATCTTCCAAAAAAAACCAAAAGGAGAATTACTGCAGGATCCGGCCATCCCACTTGTGGTCTTGGTGGTAGTCTGGTTGCTAAGTCGTGTCTGACTCTATTGTGAGCCCATGGACTGTAGCCCGCCAGGCTCCTCTGTCCATGGGGATCCTCTAGGCAAGAACACTGGAGTGGGTTATTAGTCCCTTCTCCGGGGGAATCTTCCTGACCCAGGGATGGAACTCGGGTCTCCTATGTTGCAGGCAGATTCTTTACCATCTGAACACCTTGGAAGCCCTAAAAGATAGAGAATTTGGTTTTTTAAACAGGGTAGGGGCTGAGTTTTATTCTAGGGGGGAGGCACTTTGTGTCCGCAACAGTGCAAGAGGTTTCAGACCCTTGGGCTGAGTGGTGTCCAGCAGTGCTGAGGAAGGGAGAGGTGTCAGAAGCAAATTCCCAGAGTAAGGAGGCCCCTTTCTGCCCCCTCCCCAGGCTGTGGAAAGAGCAGTACCCGACGCAAGTAAGAAGGCTGCTGGAGCAAGTGCAGAGGGTAAAGCCCCACGTGGTTATCAGTGACGCCTGGTACTCGGAGGAGGACCGGCGCTGGTGGAGGTCCTGAAGCCAGGAGGACCCTCCGCCCACCCCCGCTCTGCTGGGGACCCTTCAGGAGACGGACGACGACTCCTGAGTCCCACGAAGCCTCACTGGTGGTGGTTCCCGAGTATCCACTTCAGCCCGCTTGTTGGTGTCTGCCTCTGACGTCCTGGGACCTCAATTATCTGTGAAGCATGTGCCCTACCTGAACACACGGGGAGGACTGAATAAACACTGAGCATTTGGAAGAAGCATCCAGTTCCTTCTTGATCGATGGGGGTGTGACTCCAGAGCAGACGAGGGAGGACTTGGGTCTTTAAAAAAGTCACAACTCTGCTGAAGTTTTTAAAATTTTTTTAAGTGCATATCTGAATTTCAAAGGAGGATGTGACTATTACTGAACATCAGAGGTAAAAACACAATGTTGAATTTATCGCTTAGTGTAGTAAAGAACTGGTCTGCCAGAGTCTCCTCCTCAAAGCAACCACAAGGTAGGTAATATTTTTCCTGTTTTACAGAGAAGGAAACAGACCGATGGATGTTGACAGGGGTCTGGTGTCACAGAAAGTCATTCAGTCATCCAGAGAAAACTCTGCAATTTGAAAAAAAAAACAACCCTGCACCTCAATATTCTTAGGAGCACTATTTACAATAACCAAAGACAACAACAACCTAAGTGTCCACCGAGAGATGAACGGATAAAGAAGACATACAATGGAATATTACTCGGCCATAAAAAGAATAAAATCTTGCCATTTGCAGCGACATGGGTGGACCCAGAGATGATCACACTGTCAGTCAGAAAGAGAAAGGCAAATCCCGTGTGGTTGTCATTCCATGTGGAATCTAAAATATGATGCACGGTTACGTGCATGTTTACTTCTATATTTGCACCAGGGAAAGGCAGGGCAAGAGGTCAGGGGCCCACTCCTGGAGGGGTCCATCCCCTCTTTGCCGCCCCGTGGACTGTAGCTCACCAGGCCCCTCTGTCCTTGGGACTCTCCAGGCAAGAATCGTGGAGGGGGTTGCCATTTCCTCCGCCAGAGGATCTTCCCGTCTGCATTGGCAGGCGGATTCTTTACCACTGAGCCACCAAGGAAGCCCTGGAGGGTGACCCTTTGCAAACCCAGGGGCATCGCCCTGACCACCCCAGTACATCTGGCCATGGTGGGGCTGGGGCCCTGGGGTGGGGGCATCCGTCCTGCGTCCTAGATGACTCTGGGCTCTTCCCTTGTCATTTTCTCCAGGTGGATAAAGTCGGGGGCGGGGGGTGAAGCCATGTCAGCTGGTCCTCTAAGCCATAAGTCCCCGAACGCCTGGCCTGGGGTCGCTGTGTAGAACCTCCCCCGTCCACTGGGGAAGGAGTCGGTGGGTGGGGGAGTCCAGGTTTAACCCCGCGGCCCCAGGAGCAGGCGCCCAGCCCACCTCCTTGCGCTCCCCCTGGTGTCCACGAGGCGGCGGCAGAGCGTCACCTTTCTCTTAACACACGCGGGAGCAGGAAGGATGGAGGGGTCCCTGGGGCCAGTGTCTCCCCAGCACCGCCGGCCTCCGCGCGGGATAACCCTTTGGGGGCGGGAGCCCCCGCCCCGTGCATGGCAGGACATCAGCAGCATCCCTGGCCTTTCCCCACTAGATGCGAGGTGCACCCACGCACACCTCCTCCTCTGCCCTGGGAACTAAATGTGACTCCAGGGCACAGTCGCCCCAGCTGAGAACTGCCGCTCCACTGGAGGCAGAAGACCCTCTCCTGGCCGCACGCCCTCGCCCCACGGGACGAAAGTGCCCTCCACACAGGCCCGTGTCCTCCTGTGGCCACTGCCTGCTCCCCGCGGAGGAGGAGGGCTGTTCCCAGGCCCAAAGGTGCGGCTGCGTGAGTCACAGCCGCTAGAGCTTGGGAGCAGGAGGCTGCATAAATAGACTAAGTGGCTGCCCCTGCCGGCTCACTGCGCGCGTGCGCAGTCGTGCCCGACTCTGCGGTCTGTGGGTGCACAGACTGCACCTGCCAGGCTTCTCTGTCCATGGGGTTCTCCAGGCAGGAACGCTGGGGGGGGGGGGGGGGCAATGCCCTGCCCCAGGGGGTCTTCCTCACCCAGGGACTGGCCCCGCATCTCCTGCGTTGGCAGGTGGGTTCTTGGCCACCGAGCCCCTGGGAGGCCCCTCAAGCTCACTGAAGGCCACAGTGAGGGCAGGAGAAGGCGGGCGCAACAGCGGGCCTGGCTCCTAAGTCCCGCACGAGGCTCCTCCCGGGACAGGGCTGCGCGGGCAGTGACCGCAGACCAGGGACCCCAGGGGCCCCTTGAAACAGTCGTGACAGGCAAGTTGCTCTTTACACAGAGGAGGCAGCTGAGGGTCGGAGGGGTTAGTTCACTTGCCCGGAGTCACACAGCCTCTCTCTGCGGCCAGTCTGGCCCGGGTGTCGGGTGCTGCTTCTGCCTGCAGAGGTGCGGACAGGATGGCTGAACCCAACGCTTACTCCTCCCCAGGGGACAGGGCACACCCCCGCCCGGAAGCGCCCACGGTCAGCGCCGGCCGCCAGGAAGGGCCCTGCGGCACCGGGCAGTCTCCTCAGCCTTTGTTTCCCCTGGCTGGACAAACAGCGGCTTTCCCCCGCCTCCCGTACAGGGGTCCGAGCCCTCAGAGGAAACGGACCCGGGTCCACAGTTTCCAAGCGAGGCCACAGCCACTTGAGAACAAGGTGTTTTAATGAATCCTCCTGGACGACCCGTCCCTGCCCACGGGTGGCCGGCCGTGGCCTTGGGTTCTGAACCCCAGGCCCCAAGGGGGTGTGGCCTGGGGCTGCTCACAGACAGCACAGGCCAGGGGAGACTCATCAGGCCTGAGAGGGCACACACCCCCACCCCCGCTTCCTCCTCCGGCTCCCCCGGCTGGTTGGTCGGCTCTGTGCTCCACGGAGGTCAGCGGAACCCTTTGGCCAGGCTGCAAACACCCCCTGGGGGGACCCTACCTCCCCGGCATCACCCACTGAAGCTTCCCAAGACCCCTGGGTCCCCAGGCCTCCAGTGGAGGGTCCCGGGATGCTTTGGTGGTATCAGATACCGCCCCCACAGGGGCCGACCTGAGTCTGGCACTTGGCCCAGAAGCAGAAAGACACTGCCCACCCTTGTCTTCCCCCAGGCCCTGCTTCCTCCTGGCGGGGTGGGGGGCGGTGCGGGGCGGTGCGGGGCGGTGCGTAGGCAGGTACCGCCCACCCACCAGAGTCCAGCTTCCTCCTAGAGGCAGTAGTTCTGTCGCTGGGAAGTCGAGGCAAGCACTCCTCTGCGGTGACGTGTGACCCGTGGCTGTCCCCCGCTCCCGCAAGGGATCTGAGGATGGGATACAAGGTGCAGGACAAGTCTTCCAAGACGCTGGACGCAGGCGGGGCCGCCGGGGCTGGTGGAGACGGGAGCCTGGGGTCCTTGGCAGCGCAGGGGAGATCTGCCCGCCACCGCGAAGCGAGGCACGGCCTGCGCACCCCCGCTCCGCCCCACCTCCCGGCCGCCGGAGTCCTTTTAAAAAGCAGCGTGTGGGCGGGTTTCGCTCGGAACACCCCTGGTCCTCACGAGCCTGCCCGTCCTCCAGCCCGGATTGAGGGCGCCGCTCCCTCGGGGGCCCAGAGCCCGCTGCCGCAGTCGTCCGATCACTCTCCCAGGACAACCCCCATGGCGCGAGCACGGCCTGGGCCGGCGTCGGTCTCTCTCCTCCGGCCTGGCCCATGCCCCCCACCCACCCAGCAGCGGCTGCCCGAGTTTGGGGCCCTCTGTTTCCCTGGACTCAAGAACCACGCACAGGAGGGACGATCGGATAGTGCGATTTATTGCCCCCGCGCCCTCCTCCCGCCGCGCCCACGCCTGGGATGAGCTGGGACCCGCTGTCCGCGGGGTCGCCCGGGACGCGGGCGCTCGGCTCCGCACGCCTCCGCGACCCCAGACCCGGCGGGGTGGGGGAGGGTAGGGAGAGGAGAAAGGCTGAGACCGCGAAGGGGAAGAAAATAACAGGCGGGCGGGGGCAGGAGGCGGTATGATTAAAAGAAAATTCTAAAAGGGAAAAGGACCCTCTCTCCCTTCCCGCTTGGGGCCCCTCCGAGAGGAAAGGGGGCACTGCTCGCCGTTCCCGCAGCAGCCCCGTCGGCGGGGGAAGGAAAGAGGGCGAAATGGTCTTTCGTTCACGGGTTTCGTCGCGTCTTGGTCTCTCTAGTTCCCACCCAACGTCTCGATTCGGGCTCGGCCAAGAACCGACGGGGCCAGGCCAGGCCGAGCGGCGGGCGCGGGGAGGGGCCGGGCGAGCGCCCCGCGCGCCCCGCCCCACCCCCGGGGCGCCCCTCTGTCCGTTTTGCCCCGGCCTCTGGGTCCCGCGCCGTCGTCCCCGCCCAGCCCGAGGGGCCCCGCCCCCCCCCCGGGCCGCCGCCCCTACCGGCCCTCCCCGCCGCGGCACTCGCTGCAGCGTCCGCCCGCTGCCTCCTCCTCGTCGTCCTCGTCGTCGTCGTCCCCGCCCGCCCGGTAGTAGTTCTGTCCGCAGTGGCTGCAGACCGAGGGCGCGCCCACGGCGTGCACCTTCTTGTGCCGGCGCAGCGCCGCGCCCTGCACGAAGCCCTCGCCACACTCCACGCAGATGTGCGCCGGCTCCTCGCCCCCCGCCGCCCCCAGCCCGTCCCCGTGCTGGGCGCGCTGGTGGGCCAGCAGCCCGGCCCCGTGCCCGAAGCCCTTCCCGCACTCCACGCACACGTACGGCTTGGGGGCCGGGGCGCGCCGCGAGCGGGGTCCCGGCGCCCTGGCCCCCGCGCCCGCCATGGCTGCGGCCGCCGCCGCCCCCTCGCCGGGCGCGCCCACCACGATGATGCCCTCGCCGTCGCCCACCGGGATGGCGATCTCGCCGTCCGCCGCCGCCGCCTCCTCGGGCGCCTTGGCCCGGCGCACGCTGGCCGCCAGCACCTTGGCCGCCACCCCGGGCCCCGAGAGCTCGGGGTGCAGCCGCAGGTGGCGCGCCAGGCTCTTGGGCTGGCTGAAGCCGCGGCCGCAGCGAGGGCACACGAAGGGCTTGAGGCCGCTGTGCGAGCGCCGGTGCTTGGCCAGGCTTTTGCTCTGCGTGAAGCTGCGGCCGCAGTCGGGGCAGGCGTAGGGCTTCTCGCCCGTGTGGATGCGCTGGTGCTGCATGAGGTTGGAGCTCCAGCTGAAGCGCTTGCCGCACTCGGAGCAGGCGTAGGGCTTCTCGCCCGTGTGGATGCGCCGGTGCTGCACCAGGTGCGAGCTCTGCGAGAAGGTCTTTCCGCAGTCGGTGCAGGCGTTGGGCCGCTCGCCCGTGTGCGTGCGCTGGTGCCGCGTCAGCTTGGACCAGTGGCTGAAGCTCTTGCCGCACTCGTTGCAGATGTAGGGCGCGGGCGGCCGCGGCCGGGGCGGGGGGCCGGCGGGGGGCGCCGACGGGGGCGGGGACAGCTTGGTCGGGGGCCAGCTGGGGACGTCGTCGTCATCCATGATGAGGATATCCACTGCAAGGAAGGGGGGAGAGGGCGTCAGAGAGCCCGTGGAGGGCGGCTGGGGCTGCTCCCCTGCCGCGCTGCGAGGCCTCAGGAAGCGGCTCCCCTGCACCAGGCCGGGGGCAGCACCTCCCTCGGAGCACCGAGAACCTGGCCTGCGGGCCTGCCCGGGTTAGACGTGCTCGCTCAGTCCCCGTCCCCACACACCCCCGCCCCCAGTTTCCTGCGTTTTACCAAACGCTCCGAACCCATCCCCTAGGGCTTCTCCTTCCTTCACAGCCGTTTCCCCCACACCCAGAACAATGCCCGGGACTTGGTGGGGATTCCATAAATGTCTGCTAAAGGAATCAACAGAATCGAACGGGGCTGGGGGTGGAGGGCTAGGGAAGGCCCTAGTACAGAATGACCCCTGAGGCAGGAGCACCTGGCACCAGGTGGCTCCCGTCTCGCCCGGGGACGAGGGCTCGCGGCGCTCCGTAGGGTTACAGACCGGGTAAGAACAGTGTCAAAATTGGGTTCTGGGAAGACAACCTGGCTGCGGGGGTCGGACTGGTTAATGAGATCACAGGCCAGCAGGACAGGCCTGACACCGCCCGCCCCCCCAACTGGGAGTGCAACCCCACACCCTGCAGCCTCTACCACGGACGTCCTCAGCCTGGACCCTGGTTCTGTGTGCCCGGTAGAGACAAGAAAGGAGCGCGGGGCCTCGGTGGCGGCGCCCGCGAGCCGGGGACACCACCGAGGACACCTCCGCGGGCCTCTGCCCTACAAAGCCTCTAATACATTTGCGCCGCCGCTGGCCCGGGCGGCCTCCCGGGAGAGATGAGCGGCTCCACGAGATCTGGGTGCAGGCTCGGCGACATCTGCCTTCCCTGTGCGGCTCGGGCCTGAGCTACAGAATGGAGACGGGTTTAGGGTGCTCAAGCTCAAGACACCTGCCCCGGCGCGAGCCCCTCCCACCAGGCTTAGGCCCCGCCCACAACTCTCCGGCTCCACCCCTGGGCTCAGCCTCGCCCCCACCCGGACCCAGCCTCGCCCCAGGCACGGCCCGCCCACCAGGCTTCGGCCCCGCCCCTGGAATGGCCCCGCCCGCCAGCCTCCGGCCCCGCCCCCAGGTGTACTGCGAAGGCGTCGCTCAGGTGAACCCCACCATAACCTATCTAACTCTGTTTTCCTGCTCCCTCTCACTAGCCTGCAAGCCCACAGGGCCAGCGGTCGGACCCTGTGTTCCAGCACCCGGCCGGGGAAAAGTGCCCCAACACGGTCCCCGAGATAACGTCCTCGTGCGCTCGGTAAGCATACGTGCGTAAAGTCCCTCGAGGTGGGCCCTGGGGCCTCGGGCCTTCGCGGCGAGGACACCGAGGGGCCAGCCAGATGAGCCACCGCCCGCGGCGACACGGCCTGGGGACGGAGAATCACCAGGGGCCCGCAGTCCGGATCCCCGGCGGCCGCCCTGAGCTCCGGCTCCGCTGGGGGACGGTGCCCCACGCGCCACCCCCGCTGACTCTGAGCACCGACGCTTTGAGAACCAGGGCTCCACGCGACGAGCACCGGAACAAGGCCTGTGCTGGGACAGGACATCACTTCGGTAGGAAGCCTGGGCGGGGTGGGAGGCGCTTCCGAAGACACGGCCTGTGGCCCACTCCACTTTGACATCAACATAAATCGGGAACTCCGGGCGGCCGCCGTTAGGACTCCACTGCCTCGCGGGCCCCAGTCCCACCCCGATCGATCGGGGCCCTGAGATCCAGGAAGCCACGCAGCGCAGCCAAGGGGGCAAACAAGAAGAAAAGGTCATAAGCACACGACGTCCCGAGGCGTGGGAAAGGGAGGGGTGGGAGGCGGGCTTGCTCTTGGCGGGAAACCACGAAGTACACGCTCTGCTTTCCAAGTTGTCCTGAAAGTTTAACAAGACACGTGACTAGGCGATGACGTGCATTTGCCATCGCAAGGACCCAGACATAACACAATCCGCCTGAACCCGTGAGACCCCTGGAACTCAACCAGGAGTCCTGGATGCGGGTGGAGGGCGAGGGGCGGAGCGCCGGTCCGGAAGCAGGAGAGAAAGCTCGCGGGGCCGCAGGGCTGGGCTGAGTGGGGCTGCGCCAGGTCTGAGGAGGGGGCGGGGGGCGGGGAACGGGGCAGGCGCTGCGCCGCCTCCACCGCAGGCACTACTTTTAGAGCAGGCGTTAAACGGCCCAGTGGAGCTCACTGACTCAGGGAGGCGGGCCTGCCCCTCAGCCTGCGGACCCCTGGTCTCCTGCAGTGGATGCAGGGCCCCGTACTCTCATGCACCCCGAGTCCGAGTCTGGAAGGAGGTCAGCGGCTGCCCCCAGTCCGCCCTCCTCACCGGGCCAACGTCTCCGCGCTGGGAGTCATCCTTAACTGGATGCACGAATTCCCAGAGAGGAGAGCACAGAGACCAGCGCCAAAGGGCTCCCTCAACAAAACAGCACAAGAGGCTGTGACCGCCTTGCTGAGCCTAACAGCTACCCTTCTGGGGCGGGGAGGGAAGGGGGTGTCCCGGGCACCAGACCCCCTCAGCCCACAGCAGCTGTCATTGTCCTCCTCTCAGCTCAGGCCCCGAGGGGGTCCTGCTGCCCACCCATGCCCACGACCTCGCAGCTTCCTGCCCTGGGACGGAGCCCGCCAAGCGGACTAAGGCTTGACTGGATGTTAACCCTTCTCCTTTCTGTCCCAGAACACAGGACATGCAGAGAGCCCACCAACAGAATGCAGAGCTGACCACAATCAATGCAGGACAAATGCCCCATTGAGACGCGTCCGGGCGCCCCTGGGGCCCCTCCATGCCGGGCCCCACGCACAGCCCACGCCAAGCCCAGAGAGCCAAGCTGGAATGGCCCCCTCTCAATCCTGCACGCGTCACCGAAGTGCACGCCCCCAGACATGAGTCTGGTCCCTTTACTTCTCACTTCAGCTAAGTCTGTTAGGTCCTGTGTAATACAAGCTTCCCGGGTCTCTTGCTCTTCCTGACAATCTTCCTTTCACGGAGCCCTGGGGCCCACTGGACCCTCGCAGGCTGCCAGCTCCTCCTTGTGGGCTGCAGCTGGGGACCCCACCCCACCAGCCCTGTGGCCGGTCATCCTGAAGCTGCAATCCCGTCCTCTCACTAAAGGCGGGGATTATCGCCTCTCGTGTGATGTCGTATCGTTTCTGTGACATCAAGGGCCACTGACATTCAGGAAGTCAGAGATCAACTGAATCACGGAGGGATGCAAGGCACGGCACTCCGGTGGTTTCTCCTGCACGCAGCTGGCACAGGGGCCCGCCTTGGTCTTGACAGGGCATTTGTCCTGCATTGATTGTGGTCAGCTCTGCATTCTGTAGCCGGAGTAGTTTTTAGAGATGCTCCCTCGCCCGCTGGTTGGGACCCAGTGGTCAATTTCACAGGCTTACAGCAGGATGGACTTCATTTTCCCTCATCTGCCCGGCCTTCCATTGTCCTCCAGCGTGACCAAGTAACCTTCCTTTTCTTCAGTGCGCTGAGCCCACGGATTTACAACATCTGCTGGGCTGCACCTGCAACCCGTCACCCTGCCAGCTGCAAGCTGCAGCGCGTGGGAGCCTCGAGGGGGCTCACCCACACTTCCTACCCCAGACCTGCAGCTGGCCATTTTTACAAGGGCACTCTGGTTTCTCTAAGCGGGAAACAATTTCAAGCTCCAAATCTGGAAGCGAACAGTTCTTTTTTTAACCAAAAAAAAAAGGTAAAATTCCTGTAAGTTCTAACTGACACTTTCCATACAGATCCAAGCCAGCAGGCTTCTTTGTGGTCTTCCTTAGACACCCGCATCTCGGTCCTCACAAGGGGAGGAGAGAACCTGGACCAGCGCCATCTCTGCCAGACTGCTGACATCACATCACCAGCATCGGGATGGCTGTGCGCACACCGGCTGGGCCAAGCGTGATTCCTCAGGACTCACAGCCAGCCTGGCCCCACTCCCTGCCCGTGGATCTGGCCCCGGCCACCTGGGGCTCCTGGCCCGCAGATCCCCCAGAAAGGGCCCACGCAGAGGCGGTCTGCTTGGCTCTGCGGGTAACGAGTTCACCTGCGCCCTTCAAATGCGCAGGTTGGTTTTCCTGCGGGCATATGATGCGACTCACAGCCCTCCTTTTCCTTCCCTGGACAATCAGAAACAGAACCTCTCCACTCTGCTCTGGCAGAAGGCGCCGCTGACCGGCTGAGCGCGAGGCCATCTCCTCTTCCCCAGGGGTCATTCACTCTTTCCCCAGGTACCTCTTCCCCAGGGATCTGCTGCTTCAAGCCCAGCGACTTGAGTTGAAGACCATCCATCTGAGTGGATGTTCTCAGATTTTCAACTTGCTCCTTTGACACCCAACTTTTCCATTTCAGGAATGTTTTCTGGACTCGTAGGTTTCACTGTTCTCTTCCTTATACTGGATTTTGTCTTCTTGGGGCTTTCTTTAACTAACTTCAGTACCTTTCTTTTTTTTTTTCTAACCCTGCTGTAATCTTTATTTCTTTTTGATTTTACAATGTTCCTCCTTTTCACCTTCAGTTTTTCTCAGAGAACGATGCACTACTTTTACTGTCTTGAGCTCCTCCACCTTCATCTTGAAACATCTTAGTCTGTGCTGCTGGCTCTCTACTGAGCTCTGCCTCTGGGCAGCGCAGTCCTGGTATTGTTCTTCCAAGCCCCTATGCACAGTCCCACCTGTCTGGGAGCGCACCTCTGACACCTCCCTGTCTGAGAACACCCTCCTCAGCCCCTTTCTCTTATCTAACAGCTCCTGCCGGGTGGGGGCAGAAGGACGAACTCCAGTTCCCTGTCTGCCCATTTCTGGACATCAGCTTCCCTGAACTCGCAAGCGGCTGCGTTCTGGGCAGTGTTTCCAGCTCCTCGGGGGTCCTCTTGCACGTGCGTGACCTGCTCTCCCAGGGACCCCCGCCCTGCCGCCACCCCCATTTGGTCAGTACCTTCCCCTCTCCACTGCGGTGCCCGCTGGGGGCTGGACCCTGAAGCCCCTCCCTGTAGGCCCTGCTCTGCCTGGGGCCTCCCTGGTGGGCGCTTTCCCTGAACACAGTCAGGAAACCGGCCAGGCGGCCTGCCTGCCCCGTTGCTGCTCTGTATGGAACACGTGCTGCAGCTGCTGCCCGCAGTGCCCCCCAAGGACGGCCTAGCGGCCAGCTCCCTGCCCCCTAACACCACTTGGCCCATCCCCATCCAGCTGTGCTCGGGGCTCTGCTCCTAGGGAGCCCAGTTGGTGTGGCCAGGGCACATCAGGTGGGGTTTGCTGTGTTTTCACGCGGGGTCTGCTGTCACCCCGGCTCAGGCGGGCGGGACATTGCACTCCCGGGACTCTGCGGGACTCACACTAGTGGCGCTGAGACAGGACAGGCGGGCCTGACCGCCCGAGGCCTGGAGCCTGGCCCTGAAAACCAGCAGCTGAAGACTCCTCCCTGCCTCAGAGTCAGGTCCTCTCTTCACCTATGATCCATGTTTGGACAGCCTCTCTCTGAGCGCCCTGACTTGGAAGACTTGGTTGGCTCTCACACTGCACCCCTGCCGGCTCACCCCCATGGTCTGCAGGCCTCGGGCTGGGGTCAGCCCTTCTGTGAGGCAGTCACCACAGAGCCTGGCTGCAGCCAGCAGACAGTCCACCTCAGCACCAGCCCTGGCTCCTGGTGGCCCCGCCATCCCATGCCCCAGGCTCACAGCCCTGCCCCCAAGGCCCCTCGGCCCTCCCCACCGCACCAGACGGCACCAGGGGTCTCAGGGCAGGGGGCCTGCGCTGCCCGTCATGGGAGGGGCCTATGGGGGGCCCCACAGGGCAAGGGGGGACAGAGCAGCTGGGAAGCTTGCAGGTCTAGTGGCTTGGGAGCAGGGGGTCACAGGGTGGGGGCAGCCCCGGGCGGGCCCGAGCAGACCGCTGGGCAGAGCGCAGGTGAGCCCACCTGCCCCTCAGGGCCTGCCCAGGAGCACGGCTGAGTACAGGGCGTGGGGCCCAGAACTCCAGGCTCTGAGGTAAACTGCCTTCCGGAGGCAGCTGGGGGCGGGGGCAGTCAGGGGCAACGCTGAGTCCATCAGCCGAGACGAGCTTTTGCTGCTTGCGGAGAGTTTATGGGTGAACGGCTGTGGCACCTGGGGCTGTTCTCTCAAACCCTCCAGGAAAGGGGCGCAGGCAGCGCAGGACCACCTGGCGCGGCTCACTGCTGGGGTCGGCGGGACGCGAGGGCACCGCACTGTCGGCTGGAAGTTTCCAGAAGGAAACCGACGGTAAGGTTAAAGTGGTAAAAGACAGGGAGGCGGGGCGACGCGGGGAAGGAGGGGCCGGGGCCCTCCCCGTAGGGTGGGGCCTGTGCCCCCTAGGCCGGGAGCCCTGAGCCCGCCGGCCCCCGGCCCCTTACAGGAGAGGTCTCGGACCCAGGCCAGGACGCACGAAGACGCATCGACAGCACCAAAGAGCACTTCACACTTTATTTCGCAGGCACCCTGCACGGGAAGCCCGGGAAACCCCTGGAAACGGGACCACGGCTCCCACCGAGGGCGGGGGCTAGGGGAGGCTGTGACGGGGTCTCAGCACGCAAAGCCTCATCCCGGGGGCTCACAGAGTTTTACTCAAGCCAAGTAACGCTTTATTAAATAAGGCAGGTTGTCAATATTCTAAATGAAAGATCAAGACCCAGGCCCAGGACCACCCGGAAGCCTGGGCCCCCACGACAGGCTCCACGCCCGCAGTCACAGTCATGCCTGGCCCTGTATCTATTCTGGCCCCCAGGCCCCAGCCCCTCCCCGGGCTGAGGAGCCCCCACCCGGGGAAGCCAAGGGGGCCGCCCCCAAAGGCTCCCGGCTGGGGGGCCACAGAGACCCCACCAGGCCTGGGAGGCGGCTGGCTGGGCCCCGGAGGCACGGCCGGACCCGAGCTGCCAGGGGGCGGGCAGGGCGCAGGGTCGGCCAGGAGAAGCACAGGGCCCCTCACCTGGGTTCTCGTGACTGGCCATCTGCTGGTCCTCAGAGTCCAGCGGCCCCGGAGACCAGGCCTCTTCCCGCAGCTCCATGTCTGGGCCCTGTCGGACGGGAGACAAGGAGAGGGTTCACAAGACGCCAGAGTGGACGCGGCCCCGAGCTGCACCCACCGCCCCCCGGTGGGACGGCCACAGACAGACACGGGAGGCGCTCAGCCCGAGCCAGGGACCCCAGCCGCCTTCCAGGACGGCCGCCCCCGAGGCCTCTCTGCCCCAGGATGAGGCCTGGCGACGCTGTGTGGTGGGTGGGCCAGGCGCGCGGCCCAGCGTCGGAGGGGCTCCTGGTCGGGGGTTTGCTCTCCGCTGTGGGCCAGTCAGGCGAGACCCCGCACCGGGCCCGGGACGAGGGGACGACGCTCTCCAGGAATCAGCACTCGGAGAAGTGTGCTCCGGGACGGGTGGAGGGGTGGGGGGCACGGGGCTCCCAGGAAGCCGGTGGGCCCGGGACGCACCACCCCGAGACCCCGACAGCCCCAGACACAGCAGGCGCTGCTGACGGTGGGCGACACCCGTGAACCCCCGAGCAGCGCAGAGGCCCCAAGGCCAGGAGGCAGCCCGCCGAACGCCGACACACGGGCCCCCAGCCCCCACAGAAGGACAGACGCCCCGGAGGCTGCGCGGGTACAGCCCCACAGTCCGGGCACAGGGCTGCGCAGGTATGCCAACCGGGCGGTCGCCCTGGGAAGAGCTTAGCGGGCCAACCGCAGGGGCTCAGCCCGCCTGACCCTGGAATCCCGCTCCGAGGCCACCTTCACAGCAGCGCCGCACAGACGCAGCAAGGGGAGCCGAGTGCGGGCCACAGAAGGTCGGGCTGGGCCGGGGATGGGGACGGGGGAGCGCCCGCGTGTGGGCACAGGGCTTCTCTGAGTGATGAAAGCGTTCTGGGACGAGACGGCAGCAGCGGCTGCACAGCTCTGCGAGTGGCAACCGCTGGACTGTGCCCTTCACGAGGGTGGCTCATACCCCAGTGAACACCTAAACAGACTGAGATGTGTGCGCAGGCCCTGACTCGGGCGCCACCCACTCAGAAGCGAGTGAAAGAAGGAGAAGCCGCCGGGCGAGGGGGCCGCTCAGCGGGCCTTCCGATCCACACCTGTCTGCCGGGCGGCCACGTGTGGAGCGGGAGCAGCCGCATTCAAGTCAAGCAGGCAGGGCCTTCCCGGCCCGGCGCCCCCTCCGGCCGCTTCCCGCACTGAGAAGGCGGGTGGCGGGGCTCCGTCCTCCCCAGGGCGTCCGCAGGCTCCAGGGAGCGGACGCAGAACAGGGAGGTGTTGGGCAGCTGGCCCCGAGGCCAGAGGTCCCCACACACCCGGAGGGGGCAGCTCAGACAGGGCAGTGAGGGAGACACCACCCGGTTTCCAAGGTGGGGCAGGCCCGAGCTGCAAGACCCCTGCCCACACCCAGCATCCTGGTGCAAGGAGCTCACTGTGAACCCACAACTCCCCGAGAGGAGGAGGCAAGTCCCCGCGAGAGAGAGTCCCGCACCAGGAGGGAGCGACGCCCCAGAGGGCGGGGGACCTGCCAACATTACCTTCCTTCATCCCCCCCACCCCGGCCCAGGGTCCCCGGTTACCCCCCAGCACGCAAGCCCCACCCCGTCACTCGGCTTTCCGGAGCTCCTGCTTAACGGAATCCATATGCTCCCCTGCTGATCGCCTTAGTCGGTCCAGCTGGAAGCCCGAGGAGGGCAGGGGAAGGCCCCTCGGTGGACACACAGGAGCAGAGTGGGGGCGGGGGCGCACACACGACCCTCCTAGGAGCTGCCCTCCAAGGAAGGGCGGTTTTCACTGGGTCAAAGTGGGCCCGAGGTGTCTACACAGACCCTCAGCGAGGCCGACCAGCGGCAGGTCAGAGTCTGCAACCCGGAGGCCAGGGCACAGGGGCCGCCAGGATTCAGGGAAGCGCCGGCCACGCGGGCGCTCGGGAAAGGCCTGCAGGAGCCCAAGGGGGAGCCGGCAGCGGACGGGACGGGGCGGGGGCGGGGCCGGCACGCCCGGAACTCGAAACCTGGCAGGGAGCCCCAACTACGCTCCACAAACGGCAGCTTCTCTGGCTGACTTCTAGGGGGCCGTGCGGTCTCCCACCTGGCACAGGGCACACCCGGGTTCCGGAACAGTCCGCTCTGCATTCTGGTTTGGGCCCTGAGCAGAGGGCGGTGACCCCACCCACCGGGGAAGGGAGACTTAAAACCAACCACGGGATGAACACCCTGCATCCACCTGCTGGGCCTCTTGTGGGGGCCGCGGGGTGCCGCTCTGGCTCGGGGGCCGGGCCCTGTGTCCCCATTGCGGCTTCGCACAGCAGGGACCCCAGGAGCCCGGGTGGGGGGAGGAGCCGGAGCGCGCCCCGGGAGATCCCCTGGGTCCCTGTGAAGGGCCCAGGGCATGCACTGGAGGGTCACCCTCGGCCACTGGTGCGCTCCTCCACTGCGGCCGCTCGGCCCCCTGTGCCACCCCGGGGGCTCGGGGTCCGATCCCGGGACCTGAGGAGGAGAAGCCGCAGTCCCTCCCACCCAGAGCTGAGGGCTGGGGCAGCCCCTGACCCGGCAACTCCCTGGGGGAGATGGGGCGATTCCCGCGCCAGCCCGACTGTGGAACCTGATGACTCTGGAGGCTGAAGGTGGTGGGTCCTGCCCTCCCGGCCCCCAGACGCTCCACGGCCCGGCACACCTGTCAGGGCCGGCCGCCCACTCTGACCCCCACCCACTCCACAGAGACGGAGGCCCACCCCCGCCTGGCCCTGGAGCGATCCAATTAGCCTGGGAGCCAGCAGGGCCCGCGAGACAAATTATTATTATTATTGTTATTAGACCCACCCACCTGCCCTGGATGCCTGCCCACCAATTACCCGCCGGCTCTTTCTTCCGCTGCCAATCTCGCCTCCTCCTCCGGCCGGCCCTGCTCCGGCGCCCGCGCCCAGGGTTCCCGCTGCCGGAGACAGCCGCCCCGTCTGTCCCCTCGCTTCTCACCCCGCCTCTCTGTTCCTGGGCTGCCGTCAGGCCTTAGCTGGGACCCCCGGCTCCTCCCTTGGCCATTCTTCCCCAGCCCCCGCCCCAGCCTTGTGGCCACAGAAGGCCGGTGGCTACCTCTCGGACTCCACCCCAGGAGGGCCCTGCCCTGCCCGAGCCCACCCTCACCGCCCTAACCCAACTCCCACCCCCGGGGCCTGCGCCCCCCAAGCCCTTTCCAAATCCGCTCCCCACGCCATGGACCGATTCATCTTTTCAAGGCACTCGGTTCAAACAAGTCAGTCGACTGAAAAGGGGCAGAGAATGGGAAGAGACACTTCTCCGAGCTGGCGAGCACACGAAGAAACAGATGCTGGTCGTGGTGTCAAGACCACAGACAGACCCCAGCGCAGGCGCGCTGGGCGGACTCGACGACCACCGAAAGCACGTGCGCGCGCGAACACGCGGAGAGGCGGAGGCGCGCACGCACACGTTGCTGCCAGGTCCACGGGGTGACCCGGCGACCCCACTTCCGGCCACGAACCCGCGGGCTGAGAACACGTCCGCACGACAGTTTACACTCGCGTGTCCGCGGAAGCAGAAGTCCAAGAGCCGAGCGTGGAAACAGCCCAAACGGCCGTCACCGGTGAGGGACGCGCACGCGGCCCATGGCAGCTGGAGGAGGAGAGGAAAGAGGAAGCACTGGTCTCGGAGCGGAGAGACCGCGGTGACTCCGCTCGCCGAAGTCAGGTCCCTGGGGGCTCCGGGCGAGAGGCACGTGGTCACCGTGAGCTGTAAGAGGGTGACCTGTCCGTGTGGCAACCACCTCACAGGGGAGCTGCTGTCTGTTTTATTAAGGGTAGCTCGGTCCCGCCACCCCCCTGCCCGAACCACCCCCACACGTGGCCCCTGTGCTCGGTCCAAACTCCAGACCCGGGCTGCTGTCTGCCAGGTCAGCCCCGCAGACGCACTTCCTCCTGGGGGCCCTGCCCCGCCTCGCACCTGCCGGGCACCTTCTCGCCTTCCAGGGATCTGCTCTCCAACCGGCCACCACCAACCTTCCTAGAGCTTCCCACACGTCTGTGAACAGTCCTGCCCTTAAATGCTGGTGGATAACTGAAGATTCCTTTAAAAAAACATACTCTTCAGGACAAAAAAAGAGCTGCACGCATGGGCCATCGCTGGTTCTGTCACCCCTAGACAGCAATGGGCCAGACCCCACGCCCTCTGGGGTCTCTGGTGTCTGCAGGGCGCTTCCTTCCACCTCACCCACCCGCCAGCCCTCTCCCTGGAGACCCGCTGCCAGAGCCCAGGCAACACAGCACCTCCCCCAGGAAGCCTTCCCAGACTCCTGCCTTCCCTCAGCCCCACTGTCCCTTTTCCCCAAACAAGACCAGCCAGCACACCGAGGGCTGGGCACAGGGGCAGCGTCGGCACCTCCTGATCCCCGTGGCCACCGAGGGCACGGGAGGCTGCCCTCTCTGGGCCGGTGGGCAGGCGGCCAGGGTGGAGGCGGCCTCACCCCCCAGCCACGCCCCTGGGGCGGGTGCACCACCCTGCGCCTCGTCTTCACGGGCTTGGCGTCCAGATCACGAGACGAAGGGCGGTGCTCCACAATGAGCCGGGCACCCAGGAAATGTGGACAGGCCTCTGGAGCCCAGTTCAGACCCGTCGGGGGCTGACCCAACCTCCCCGCGTCTCGGGACACACCATCCTCCAAGGCCCGTCCTCCCCTCCGCCGAGAACACGGGCACCAGCTCCCTTTACTCCCCTGATTACAGCCGAGCCCACGTCCCTGGGAGGCTCTCTCCGACTTCCTCCGCCCTACGTGTCCACACACACCCAGGCAGATGGTGAGCTCCTCCAGCCCAGGAAGGCAGGATGTCCTGACTGGCCTGACCCTGCGCCTCCAGGCTGGGCCACGTGTGGGTCCCCAGTGTCACTTGTGACGAGGCAAACCCACACAGGACCCCCGTTCAGCAAAGAGAGGCCAGTGTTCTGTGGGCCCAACGGTCAGGCAGGCAGAGCAGGGAGACCCCCCTGCCAAGGTGGACCCCAGAAGCAGCCGGCTCAGCCGGGAGGGGCAGCGCAGTGGTGAGAGGTGCCCTCTCTGTCCCCACGACAGGGCTGCCTGCCCCGCTGTAGAGATGAGCGACCCCCCCCCCCAACTGGGGCAGGGAGGCCTCCTAACACATGGACCTCAGCACTCACCCCAGGACCCGAGTCACACCTGAACCGAGGAGCCAGCTCTGAGTCCCCGAGCCAGTCATTGGCCCCACCCCAGGAGCCAGCTCTGAGTCCCCGAGCCAGTCATTGGCCCCACCCCATGGGGAGGTCCCCAAACCAACAGGCACCTCAGAAACCTCCAGAACAGCCTCTGTCTCCCCAGGCCCCAAGCCTGGCCAAAAGAAGCCAGCAGAGGCGGCGGCTCTGCTAAAGGCTAGGCTCCGGACTCCTGCCGACCCTGCTCCAATGCTGCTTTGGGGCCCGAGTGGGGTGACCACCCCCACCCGGGGGCCTCCGGGGTACGGGCCAGGTCCCCGGCTGCAGTCTGTCTCCACCAGGAGGCCAGGGCCACAGCAGAGTCCCCAGGCACAGCCTCAGCCGGCTGGGGGCACTGCAAGACACACGTCCAGGGTCAGGGCTGCGGGCGTCTGAGCCCAGGAGCCCGACAGTAGTGTGCCCAGCTGGGCAGAGGCTGGAGGTCAAGACCAAGACTGCCGCCGACAGCCCGGGACTCAGCCCGCCCCCCGGTCCCAGGGTCCTCTCAGCAAGTTCCTCTGTCCCTCGAGACTTAAGACATCTCCCCCTGGGCTCCTCCAGCTCTGGGCTAGCCTGGCGACCCCCAGCCCTCTGCCTGGAGCACCGCGCCAGGACCAGTGTCCCAGGCCCAGCACCAGGTGGGGCTGGCAGCGGCCTCGATGGACGAGGCTCATCCAGGGACGGTGGACTGTGTTCTGGGTTGTAGGAGTCGGAGGAGGAACTGAGCCTGGGAAAGGGGAAGCGGCAGGTCCAAGGTCACAGAGCTGGAAGAGACAGAGCACTGGAATGCCGGGCCCGCCGGAGGCCTCTGCACCCGATTCACACCCACTTCTGAGAGCTGTGTGCTGGCTCCAAAAGAAGAGCATTGGGAGCCTTCCTACCAAGGTCAACGCCATTAGTACGGCCCCTCTTTTTCACTAATAGAAACTGAGAAACTCCTTGTGCTCCGAGGCCACAAAGGTGAACGCAGAGCTGGGACCTGAACCCGGTCCGTCTGACTTGAGCCCGGGGCTACGCCGCAGCGGTGCCCCGGCCCGGGCTGAAAGCCTCCCAGTTCTCTAGCTCCACCTGCGGGGGTTAGAGCCTGAGACCTCAGGAGGAAGGGGATAAGAAGACAACACAAGAAGGAATCGGATCTGAGTGTTCTGGGGCTCTGGAGGGCCTGCTGCAGACGCGGGGGGTGAATGCCAGCTGCGTTGAGCCAAAGAGGCTTATGTTCTTAGGGAAGAGATAAGCCACAGTAACCGGGCTTCCCCAGGAGCGAGGGCAGACCCAACCCCCAGCTGGATCCTAACCCTGGATCCCCAAAGCAGGGCCGGGCACCAGGAACCACGCAGAGCACACAGACCAAGTCAGTCCCTTCCTATAACGCCCCTCTGGACTGGGGCTGGGGTGCCCTCCCTGATTCCCTGGGTGAGGACAGGAGTGCGGAGGTGAGGAGGCACATGGACCCGGTCCAGGTCTTCGGCGCACAGAGCGAGCCTGCTTCATCTCCCTATCCTCGTGCCAACCAATGGGCCCGCAAGAGCCTCTGTCCACACTCGCCGTGGCTCAATCTTCCGTCTGATCACGCCATCCTCGGCTGGCCTGGGCCCCAGGGGCACCCATTTCCATGAACTGGGGTAGCACCCTTTGTGTCCGGGCCACGAGTTGGGGGCTCAGGGGCGCGGTGGGGCGCCTGGGAGGCCTCGGCGTGGCCATCGGGACCGGCCGCCGGCCTCGCCCTGCCCCGCGGGCCACGCGGTGCCTGACCTTGGCCTAACATTTCCCCTCCAGCGCACGCGCTTCCTGCCCGCCGCCCGCGCCCGGGCGAATGAATGAGCCTCCCGCCGGCCGGAATGCCCGTAATTACCGGCCGGATCAAAGGCCGCACGCAGCCCGCCCGGGGCGGCAACGGGATCTGGCTCCTTTGAAAAAGGGGGGAAGGGGAGCGGGCAGGCCGGGGGCCGCCACCGGTCCCCCGGGGGCCGCCGTTTCCGGTCAGGCCAGCTGGGCCCGCGCGCGCCGCCTCCCCCACCGGGGCCTCACTTGTCCCAGGAGTCGCCACCACTTCCGGCCACGAGCGGCCAGGAGGCTGGGGTGGGGGTGGGGGCTACACGGCGGCCCTACCGGCGAGCCCGCGCCGCGCGCCCCCGCCTCGGGCGCGCCCCCGGGCGTGGCGCGCGCTCCCGGCCCCGTCGCGCGCCCGCGGCCCCTCCCGGAGCCAGCGCCCCGCCCCGCGTCAGCGGCCGCGCGCCCACTCACGCCCCCCCCCCCGCGGCGCGCACGCGCACTCGCCCGCCCAGTCGCGCTCGCCGCCCGCCTCCCCGCCCGCCCCCCCGGCCGCAGCCCGGCGCCCTGAGGCGCGCGCCCACCCGGCCCCGGGCGCACGGCCCCCGGCCCCGCGCCCTCCCCTCACCTCCTCGGTCCCGGGGCCGCCGCGCCGCACTCCTCCTCTCTCCTCCCTCGCGGATGGTGGCAGCGGCGGCAGCGGCGACTCAGACCCTGGGGTCAGGGGGACGGGCGCCCAGGCCGGAAGTGACCTTCCTGGCCGCTTCCGCCCGCGCCGCTCCCCACCTCCCCTTCCCACCCCCCTTCCAGCCTCCACCCCGTCCTCGCCGCTCTAGGAAGGCGAATCCAGCGACCCCCCCCCAGCTGCCGCGGGGCCCCCCCCAGCTCTATGGTGCGGAGTAGGCGCCCCAGGGTGGCACTTCCGGACCCGTCTAGGACATGGGTCCTCCGGCCACGCTCTATGGCGCCGCGCGCCTAGGGGCTTCGGGCCCCGCCCCCTTCCAGGCCAGGAGGCGCGGGCTCGGCCCGTTAGGCGGAGACTTCCGGGTGCCCAGGGAGGTGCCCCCCGCCCCAGCGCCGGGCTCTCGCGCCTGCGCGGTCGGGCGGTAGGCGTCGAGGAGGGTGGCGGGCAGGGCCGCTCAGCTACCCCGGGTCCTCCGGTCGTCTCTATCGTTGTAACCCCTTCCGTGCCGGCGCCCCCCGCGGCGGCCAGAGCCCGCGCGCCCGGCGGGCTCTCCCGTCTGCCATCCTGGTCTTTTCGTTACTGGACCGATCGCTTCAGGCGCCGCCCGCAGAGCGACAATAACACATTGTGCGCCTGCCTCCAGGGGTTTTCGGTACATTAAGTACTTTGTGGATAATCCAGTCCCATTTTGCAGATAACGAGGAACAGAGAGGTCAAGGCACCTGGCCAAAACCACACACCGCGGGTGCGGGTCCTGGGCTCGAACTCGTGGAGTCTGGCTTCCAGTTCCTGCATTGGGCCGTGCATGTGCAGACTGCCTCCTGTCACGGAAGGTTGATCATAGCGTCCAGGGATTCACCTCTTCCTCTCTGGAGAGGAGGGCGCTTTGTGAGCTTACCTGTTTGTTAGTAAATACATTCTTTTTAAATTACTGCTTACACCACAGTGTCCTCGCGGGCTCAGTCCCTCTGATCCCTTTCTGGGTCTTCAGTTGGCTGACTGTCACCTAAGCGACAGATGACTTATTGATGTTATTTATAATTATTTTCTTACCAGGTGGCGATAGTGGTAAAGAATCCACCTGTCAATGCAGGAGGTGTTACACAGGAAGATTTGATCCCTGGGTCAGGAAGATGCCTGGAGAAGGAAATGGCAACCCACTGGTCTTGCCTGGGAAATCCCATGGACAGAGGAGCCTGGTGGGGAGGAGGAATGGGGAGTTCATGTTTAATGGGGACAAAGTTTATTCGCAAGATGAAAGCAGCTCTGGAGATGGACGGTGGTGATGGTCGATACAACAGTGTGAATGTACTTAGTGATACTAAACTGTGCGCTTTAAAATGGTTTAGATGGTAAGTTTTATGTTATGTGTATTTACAATAATTAGAAGTTTAAAGAGAAACAAACTTGTGATTTACTGTTGTGTTGTATGGTGTTATGGTCTGCATGTGTCCCCAGAAAATTCCTATGTTGAAACCTAGTCCCTGAGGTGATGCTCTGACCTTCCTAGAGGAGAGCATGGCACCCCACTCCAGTATTCTTGCCTGGATAATCCCACAGACAGAGGAGCCTGACAGGCTATAGTCCATGTGGTCGCAAAGAGCCGGGTACAAGATAGCAATGACAACAGTGGCTTATGATGCTGGGCATATTTTTGTATGATTTTTACTATCTGTAAATGTTTTTTGGCTGGGTGTCTGTTCAGATCCTTATCCATTTTTGGTGGAGTTGTTTCAGAGGTCTTTCTGTATTTTGAGTCCAAATCCTTTATCAGGTACAAGTTTTACAAATATTTTCCTCTCGGTTTGTGGCTTGTCTTTTGATTTTTCTGGATAAGGTGTTTCAGAGTAGAAATCTTTAACCCTGTAAAGTCCACAATGCTACCTTTTTCTTTTGTGGACTAGCTTTTTGTGTTGTGTGTTAAAACTCAAAAGTCCATGATCTACAGACCAAACCGAAGATCATGTAGATTTTCTATGTTTTTGTCTATTATTTTGACAGTTTCACATTTTAAATGTCTGTTAATAAATTGGAATGAATTTGGTGTCAAAAAAGAGAGACTCCCGAGTTTCCAATGCATGGGGCTCCAGTTTGATCCCTGGTCGGGGAACTAAGATACCACATGCCATGCAGTGCGACCAAATAAATATGTAAATAAATAAACAAAATTTAAAAAGGAGACCCAGAGAGCTCCCTGGCCCCTTACACCATGTGAGGACACAGCGAGAAAGCGGCCGTCTGCTGCCCTGAAGAGGGCATTCACCAGAACACGACCTTGCCAGCACCTTACTCTTGGACTTCCTGATGCCACTTGTTCAGCTGCTGAGTTATGTCCGACTCTTTCCAACCCCGTGGACTGCATGCAGCACACCAGGCCTCCCTGTCCTTCACCATCTCCCAGAGTTTACCCAAATTCATGTCCATTGAGTCGGTGATGTCATCCAACCATCTCACCCTCTGTCGTCCCTTCTCCTCCTGCCCTCAATCCCTCCCAGCATCAGGGTCTCTTCCAGTGAGTCATCTCTTCGAATCAGGTGGCCAAAACACTGGAGCTTCAGCTTCAGAATCAGTCCTTCCAGAGGGGACACTGCGGGTGCTCCGATAACATCTGTCCACCCTCTGCTTCTCTGACGTCCCCAGATTTCCATACTTGCGTGAGTCCCAGGTGCTGAGGGCCACAGAGGACGGAGGGGATGGTTCACCCCCAGCTGTCCTGTCCCCCTGCCTCCAGTCTCGCCTCCTTTCAGGCTCAGAGAGAGCTTTCATACACACCCAGATATGACTGACTGTCACCCTGATATGACTGGCTAACAGCCTGACATGACTGTCTGTCGCTCTGATACAACTGTGTCTATCACCCTGACATGACTGTCAACCTGATAGGACTGTGTCTATCACCCTGATATGACTCTGTCACCCTGATATGACTGTGTCCATCACTCTGATATGACTGTCTGTTCCCCTGATATGACTGTCTGTCCCCTGATATGACTCTGTCACCCTGATATGACTGTGTCCGTTGCCCTGATATGGCCGTGTCTGTCCCCCGATATGACTCTGTCCGCCTGATATGACTGTGTCTAACACCCTGACATGACCGTCTGTCACCATCACCCTGATATGACTGTGTCCGTCGCCCTGATATGGCCGTGTCTGTCCCCCGATATGACTGTGTCTAACACCCTGACGTGGCCGTCTGTCACCATCACCCCGATATGACTCTGTCTGTCCCCCTGATATGACTCTGTCTGTCCCCCCGATATGACTGTGTCTAACACCCTGACGTGGCCGTCTGTCACCATCACCCCGATATGACTCTGTCTGTCCTCCTGATATGACTGTCTAACACCCTGACATGACCGTCTGTCACCATCACCCTGATATGACTGTGTCTGTCCCCCGATATGATTGTGTCTGTCCCCCTGATATGACTGTGTCCGTCGCCCTGATATGACTGTGTCTGTCCCCCTGATATGACTGTGTCTGTCGCCCTGATATGACTGTGTCTGTCCCCCCGATATAACTGTGTCTAACACCCTGACGTGGCCGTCTGTCACCATCACCCTGATATGACTCTGTCTGTCCCCCCGATATGACTCTGTCTAACACCCTGACTGACTGTCTGTCACCATCACCCTGATATGACTGTGTCCGTCGCCCTGATATGGCCGTGTCTGTCCCCCGATATGACTGTGTCTAACACCCTGACGTGGCCGTCTGTCACCATCACCCTGATATGACTGTGTCTGTCCCCCCGATATGACTGTGTCTAACACCCTGACATGACCGTCTGTCACCATCACCCTGATATGATTGTGTCCGTCGCCCTGATATGGCGTGTCTGTCCCCCGATATGACTGTGTCTAACACCCTGACGTGGCCGTCTGTCACCATCACCCCGATATGACTCTGTCTGTCCCCCCGATATGACTCTGTCTAACACCCTGACGTGGCCGTCTGTCACCATCACCCCGATATGACTCTGTCTGTCCTCCTGATATGACTGTGTCTAACACCCTGACATGACCATCTGTCACCATCACCCTGATATGACTGTGTCTGTCCCCCGATATGATTGTGTCTGTCCCCCTGATATGACTGTGTCCGTCGCCCTGATATGACTGTGTCTGTCCCCCGATATGACTCTGTCTGTCCCCCCAATATGACTGTGTCTAACACCCTGACGTGGCTGTCTGTCACCATCACCCTGATATGACTGTGTCCGTCGCCCTGATATGGCCGTGTCTGTCCCCCTGATATGACTCTGTCTGTCCCACTGATATGACTGTGTCTAACACCCTGACGTGGCCGTCTGTCACCATCACCCCGATATGACTCTGTCTGTCCCCCTGATATGACTCTGTCTAACACCCTGACGTGGCCGTCTGTCACCGTCACCCCGACACGACTGTCCAGAGCCCTCCAGGGGCTCCCCATCGCCCCCAGGAGGAAGCCACAGCTGACTGCGCGCCGAGACCTGTCAGCGCGCGGCTCCGGCCCGCGCCCCCGGGGTGACACGAGACCGTGGCAGCAGGGAGCTACTGGGAATGTCCCCAGCCCTGCTCCCGTCTCTCCACTTCTGGGTGTTTGCGTTCGCTATTCCCTCGACCTCTGCTGCTCTCTCTCATTTCGCCTCCGTAATTCCCACTCATCCTTCCTGACTCAACCAGGTTAGGTACCTCCCCCATCCTCCACCTCCTTGCACCATCCCCATTATAATGACCACTCCTTTTTGTCCAGAACCCACAGCAAGCAGGTCCAGGGCAGAGATTCGATCCCACATCTACTGGGCTCTGAAACTCTGGCCACTGCTTGGGGTTTCCTCAAAAGCCCCTTGCGGCCCTAAAGCTTTGGAGCTCTATGTTCCAAGTGTGTGGCAGCTCCATGCAGATTTCAAAGATTCCAATCCCCAGAAATCTGATCACAGACTAGGAGGACTCTAACAGTTAGGGCTCAGCTTGCATAAAACAGAAACACAGTTCAAATAGGTTTAAGGCCAAAAAACAAAAACGGGGGAGAGAGATAAAATTGCGTTGGCTTATATAACATCCAAAAAATCCCATACATATAGACACCTTCAGGTGTGATTTGATCCAGGAACTCAAAGAATGTCAACAAGTACTGGTCTCTTGCCACATATCTTTGGGCTCTGCTAGTCTCCGATTTACTTCACTCTAGGCATTCACATGGTGGCAAGATAGCCTCCAGCAGTTTCCAGACTATGCTTACCTCTCTAAAAGTTAGGGGGGAAAGTTGATGAGCCTTTTGCTCACTTGTCCTGGCAAACGTCCCGTTCCATTTGGTTAAATCTGATTGGGTGGCCTGAACCCATCCCAGTGGCCTGGGAGGGTGGGTGCTGTTCTGATTGGCCAGTCCTGAGTCACAGGATCACTCCTATGGAGCCTGCTTCCCCAAAACCACGTAG